AGCTCAAAGGCATCAATTCTCCTTCTATTCTCCCTAGTCATTGTCAAACTCTCTGATGCATAACAAGTGATAGCAAAGACCATGGCATGTATCAGGCGCAAGGCAAAAAAGAACTCCCAGGTCTTCCAAGAATAGGGCCCCTCAGCATCACCTTGCTGTCAATTTTACACACATTTATCTAAGCCTTGATACCCTCTCACCTTCAGAGATTCAATCGTGGCCTGCTTGTATATTTTTGCTCCAGGATCTCGCTTCTGGGGGCTATTCTGGCCTCGAGGTGTTCGGATGACGAATTTATCCATCGCTAGGGGCTGCGGCTACTTCACGTGCTTGCAGTGTGTTCTGTTCAAGAAAGAGGGAAGATTCTAAAACTTTATCAAAACTAATTATTGGCTCCGAAAATTCTGACAACGTTCTTGAATTAAAAGGATTAAGTTAGAGTTTACATGTGGCAAAATTTCTTTCCAAAAGTATACGCTGTGAGGGGATTTCAGTAACAGACTGTGTTAAATCTCCTAACTTCTTAGTCATTCCAATGTGGGTCTGGTTGTGGCAGGACTGGGGTTCCCCTAGGTTCAATGAAGACCTCTGAACAACTACTTTACCCACAACCACAATCCAAAGAGTTCTCTTAGCAACCAACAACCACCCCAAGGCTCCTCAAAATCAACAGCCATGTCCGGGTGCCACTGCTCTGAGTGTCGGAATCCGGATCCCTAAACTGCGTTCAGCACACTCGGACGGAGGAGGGGTTACCTAACAACGGTCTGACGTGAAACCCAGCAGGAAAAGCAGCTCTAGAAGCAGCTGGACAGTTCCAGAGATCACCCTGTGAGCTCCCAAACCCCGATCGCCGGGCGGAAACGAAAAACCCAAAGAAGCGGCGCCACCCGCTGCGAAGCCGTCGGAGAGTGGCGTCTGACTACACTCCCCAACATGCACTGCGAAGGGCGCGTCGAGGGGGCGTGTCCGGGAGCCGGACTACATTCCCCAGCATGCACTGCGAGGGGGCGGGTCCGGGTGGCTGCAGTTCTCCAGCGCCCACCATCCCGGCGGCCCCTCTCGCCTCCCGAACGCGGACAACTACATCCCCCAGATCGGGCCGCGGGAGGAAGGGGGCGGGGGACGCCGATTGGCGCTCACTTTCGCAATGGTTGGGTCTTTCTCCTTCCATCAGCCTATGAGGAGTTCGTAGTCCCAGAGGTGTGGCCGGAGGCGGTGGCTTCGCACCGGCCTGGGCGGAGCTGAGGGGGGGGCGGGGACAGCGGAGGCGGAAGCGGCGGCCGGCAGGGAGGAGAAGGGGGCTGGCCGCGCAAGGAGGAGGAAGCTCTGAAAAGAAAACAGCAACAAGCAGGGCTTGCTGTGACACAGAGGAACAAAATGGCGGCGCTGAGTGGGCGCCGCTGGGTCCGGGCCCAGCTGGGGCTCTTGCCGCTGCTGCTGCTGACAACGGCCCTGGCCGGAGGCTCGGGGACCGCTTCGGCGGAAGCGTTTGACTCAGTGCTGGGGGACACGGCGTCTTGCCACCGGGCCTGTCAGCTGACCTACCCCTTGCACACCTACCCCAAGGTAGGGCCCGGTCGTACTGGGCGACCACCCTTCCCTGACCGCCCGCCTGGTCACCCCCTCACCCCCGTCTGCCCTGGGGACCTGGCTGCTGAATCAGCCGTGCACTCGCTGCCGTCTACCTGTGTCGCTCCCGTTTTCCTTCCTCCTCTTCCCTCCGCCCGCTCCAGCTGTTATTACCGGAAGTGTGCGCGGCACCTACCCTCTGAGAGCTTATTGGGGGCGGGCGGAAAACCGAGAAAAACACGCAATCGCTCTACTCCGCCGGGCACACGAGCCTCGCAGGGGGATCCGAATCTCCTGCGTGTGGGGCGGGGGGCGGGCGCACACGCAAGCCCTCCCCTCGGTTAGGGTCTCACCCCTGGTTACAGAGCGCGTCTCGGGGCCCCCGAATCGCCCGTGTGCTGGGAGAATCGTCCGACAGTTAGACCGTTCCACGGGAGACTTTTGAGTGAAGCCGCGCTGCAGGCCCAGAGGCACGCGGTTCGAATCCACCAGCTGCTCCGCGGGAGAAGCATGAGCTGTCTCCTCCTGTGCGAGTTACTGCCTTTGAAAACCGGCTGAAGGGTCAGCGACGGCTCGGTTCCGAATCAGTGGCACAAAATAGGATAGTGTAGACAGTAGAGTACAGACAGGGAATTCTGGTGGCCTGTGATTATGTTCCTTTTAATTGTTAGGATGCTCTGGTGACATAATGGTGAGGAATTGCGCTGCCAACGCAAAGGTGGTGGTGGTTCTGTGCCGAAGTCACCTGCGACTCATAGCGACCCGGTGAACCATGTACCACAGCTCTGAAGCCTGCCCTATCCTGAGCCAGTCTGACGCCGACACACCTAATCCCATCGCCCCAGTGTCAATCCATCTCATCCCGAGTCTTCCTCTTCTGCGCTGGTCCTCCACCCTTTCAATCATGATGTCCTTCTACACAGTTCAGATCCATCAGCCGCGGGAGAACGATGTACAGTTTCTTGCCGTGTGATTTACTGCTTCTGAAAACCCACTGGAGGGTCAGCTATGGGTCAATGCTGACTCGATGGCACATAATAATAAACAGTATAGTATAGAGTTCTGGTGGCCTAGTGGAAAGGAATTGTGCTGCCAATGCAGGTACTTGGTCGAATCCACGAGCTGCTTCTCAAAAAGATGGACAGTCTTCTGCAAGATTTACTGTCTTGAAAATTCAGTAGAGGGTCAGCTGTGGGTCGGTTCCAACTCGATGGTTTATAACAACAATGCCAGCTGTGCAGAAGCCCATGGAATTCTGAGAGCACAGGAGGGAGGCTGTCCATCTAGGTTGAGTGAGTGCAAGGAAGGGATGTCTTAGAGAAGCAGCAGTTCGGTTTGGCCTTCAAGGAATAGATCACACAGCATAGAAGACAGGTAATTCATAAGAGTGCACACAGAAAGAAGTCCTTCCCTGTGGACAGGAGTGATCCTGCCTGCTGCCCCTGCAGCTGCCTCATTTCTTTTTAGTCCATCTTGCTTCTCAAATGTATCCAGTTTCTTAAAGATATTTGTATACTCAACAATCCTAATTGCTTGGTGACACCCACACCCTTCACCATATAGTAATTTGGGTAACACACTCTTCTTTATAATAGCCTTTGCTGAGGTTGCTGACTATCTTCTCTTGTATTTTCTCTGTGCTGTTTTCTTAACCACTGTGGCCAGCCCTCTTTGCTGTTAAACTTCAAAGTGACCACAAAGACAATTCCAGTGAATTTTGGGATGTTTCTTACTGGGAAGTACTTTCAGATTGTAGAGATATAAAATGTTAGTTCTTTTGTACATCTGTTGTCTGCTGGATTTTACATAATGCAAGGATTATAAACTGAGGAAAAGGTGTGGGACCTAGGCTTATGCTACTAAACAGGCATCAGAAGAGATTTAATATGGGCTAGGAAGGGAAAAAATTTTTATCTGACTCAAAATGCCCCAACCCAATACGTCTAAGTTCACCAATGCCCACTATGTCCATATCTATGCATTCTTTTTCTTTGTTTATAACGTCCAGTTTTCCTACATTCATGCTTTTCACATTCCATGTTCTAATCACTTCTATCTGCTTGCAACTTTTCCTCCTCTTTCATGTTTCCCAATCCAAGGCCTCAGCTTCCAGTGCCATATCTGCTAGTCTAAGTGTGCTCTATTATACATAGGTTTCAAGTCTTATTATTTTTGAAGTGGATGGCCTTCTTCCTAGTGTATGCTTAGCTTTACAGCAATATCTCATAGACAAAGAACAGATGAAAGATCTTTCCCCATTACACACACAGCTAACATATTCAGTGTTGGACACCACCCCACCCCCCTTTGGCACAAATGAGTATTAAACATACCATGGACTGCCAAGAGAACAAACAGGTCTGTTCTGGAGAGGGTGAAGCTAAGTTGCTCTCTGGAGGCAAGGATTTTGAAGCTCTGTCTACCATACTTTGGGCATGTTGCCAGGAAGAACCAGTCCTTAGAGAAGAACATCATCCTTGGAAGGGTAGAGGAACAGCACAGGAGAGAAAGACCCTGGATGAGATGGGATGACACAGTGACTTGGGTAATGGGAGCACGTGTGTCTGTCAGAGATAGTGACATTGGTTCAAGATAGAACAGGTTTCAGAGTTACTGTACTTAGGTCGCTATGAATTGCAGGTGACCTGACAGCACATTAACAACAACAGGAAGAAAAAAGACCTGACGATGCTCTTCTGAAAATTGGAAACTTGGACCAGGCAGCATTTCTTGCCATTTTTGCATGGAGTTTGTGTGAGTCAGGGATGACTTGACAGCAACTAACAACAATCTGTTAGCCATTACAATGAGAGATTTGTACTCATTACCCCTAATTATTACACCAACCCTGCAAAGTAAGATTTTACAATTGTAGAATTGTGACTTGTCCAAGATCACATAGCCAAAAAGTTGTGGAGTAGGAATTTAACTCTATATTGTCTTAACTTTTATTAAGTTGCATTAATATATTTCACTGATTTCTATCAACACTCTTCCAAATCACTTTGCTTTATGTTTTGAGAGAAAACATTGTGAAAGTAATCAGATGAATTCACAGGCTCACATGTGCTCTCTGGGTTTAATATTTGTAACTAACAGATCTAAATATAAATATAATGACTTATTTCCAGAATTATTTCTTGGAAGAAAGAATGTTTTATCTATTTGTAAGTAGGTATTTTAAACATTGTTATTATTGTATTTCATCCTCTGTTCTCAAAATGCAATTGCATGTGTCTGGATCCAAGTACAAGATTCACAATAGAGTCAGATGGATCATTTTTTAAGAGTGAGCCCATACAAGGTTCGAATCCACCAGATGCTGTGCTGGAGAAGGAGGGACAGTCTCCTCCTGTACCAGTCAGATCAGATTTGACAGTACACACACACACACAGAGAGAGAAATAATAATTTTAAAAAAATAAAGAGTGAGCCCACACAAGCTTGGGTTGTATTTCCAACTCCACTGTTATTGCTGATCACTTCTCAGAACTTTGTCTCCTGTGCTTAACACAATGACACACATTATTCAGTATAGAGTTTTGTCCTATCACATAAAATTTGTTTGATATGAATATTAATAGGTATGTTGAGTCATGAGAGAATTATTAGCTTGACTTAGATCAAGGCGAAAGAATGCCTCCAGAAGCTTTAGAGAGTGTCATTGAAGAACCATCTAATTACATAGCTGGTATTTAGTTCTTTGGAGTTTCTAGGTAGTTTCAAAGAATGGCTACAACAGAAGGGTTACAAGTTTAAGTCTACCGAGAAGCACTTTGGAAGAAAACATGATGGTTTATATCTGAAACAGCAGCCATCCAAAATCCTATGAAACGTAGTCTCTGACACACATGGAATTTCCAAGAGTAGATTGACTTGATATTGTAGAATTGCATGAAGAATAACAGACTGGTTCCTGTGAAGTGTTTATCAGATACGCCTTCCCACGTCTTTATTTCTAACGTCAACTACTTCCACCAAGGACACTCTCAAATCAAAACCCACTGTTGTTGACTCAGTCCTGACTCGTAGAGACCCTCCAGCAAGTTTCTGATGTTCTAAAACTTAACAAAAGAAAACTGCTCTCTTCAGTGGAGCAGATGATGGATTCAAACTACAGACCTTTTGGTTAGCCATGCCAACATACTAAGTACTACACCATCAGAGCTCCTATGTAAAGACCACATACAACTCACACACTGTATGTAACAGTTAAGTGGTTTAGTAGGGAAGTAACAGAGACAACTTGGGATCAGCTTCAGGAAGCATACAGGCAAGATCTGGAAAGGTCTCTGAAATGAGGAGCACATCCCTTACTCAGTGCCTGCCTGCTTCTGATCAGAACAACTCTCAGAGCATAAGGGCTCAGAGCGACAGAGCAGGATAAGCTCTTGTAAACTGTTCTCAGCCAGCACCACCATCCCCTTTCAGTGATCAGCAGATGCTATTTAGCTCTCCTATATGGCTGCCCGCCATCAACATCTCTGCTGCTAACTGGCAGAGCTCACAGCCAGTGTAGCAGCTTCACTTTGTGACCACTACCTCTGTTCCCACCTGGTTCTGCTTTTGTAACAGCCTGCCTCTTAGCTCATAGCTCTCAGATGCTGCTTTTTAATAGACCTAGAAGGGAACTGTGTGTCCTTTTGCCTCCCTCCCAACTCCTGTCAACCAGGAAGTCTTAAAAACCACTGCATTTCTTTGCTTATATATCCAGATTCTCATCAGATACATGGTGAGGCCTCCCTCTACTTTAACCAGTCTTCCATTACCCATAAGATAGCAATAACAGCCTTCTCTGGTAGAACTCAAGAGGGTTTTCTGAGTTGCATATACAAAGAACTAAGGCTAAGAGGGGAAATCTAAGATTTTTCCCAGAGATCCAAGGTAGAAGGCTACATAAAAGAACTCCTTGCATCACAGATAGCAACTGGTTTGACTTTATGTTTTTATTCAGTGTGCTGAGGAACATGCTCTAATATTGAAAGTCATATTTTATATAAACTTATAATTCCTTGGCATATGTAAAACATGAGATTAGTATTATTTCTTTGGAATAATCATATAATTTAAAACATACATAGTAGAAGGTCAGCAAATAAAAAGACCCTTAGGGAGGTAGATTGACACAGTGGCTGCAGTAATGGACTTAACACACGGCAGAAATGGTGAGGATGGCGCAGAACTGGTTAGGGTTTCAGGATTGTTGTTGGTAGGTGCTGTTGAGTCAAGTACGACCCGTAGCGACCCTCTGACCAACAGATATGAGCCCTGTTCTATCCAGTGCCATCCTCACACTCACTGACACACTGGAGCCCATTGTGGCAGTCCACCTAGTTCAGCATTTTCCTCTCCTTAACTGACCCTCTGCCTTTCTAAGCACAATGTCTCTCTCCAAGGATAAGCCTCTCCTAGCAACATGCTCGAAGTGTGTGAGGCAAAGCTTTATCATTTTTGCCTCCCTGGAGCACTCTGGCTTCCATTTCTCCAAAACATACTTGTTTGTTCTTTTGGAAGTCCATGGAATGTTTAGTACTCTTTTCCAGCACCACAGCACAGAGACATCAATTCTTCTGTCATCCTTGTTCATTGTCCAGGGTTTCAAGATAGTGCCACATAATGTTAATGATACTGTGGCTTTTTATAAGAGTATTTTTAGATTGACATGAAAATACTATCTTCATGTTACAACTACTAAACCTGAGGCTTCAATGGATTAGGGGATTGGCCAAAATGGTACAGAATAAGTTGTGGTAAAGATAGAGCTTGAAATGTACAGTTGACTTCTGAACTTTGACAATGACACATTGCCTGCTGAAATTGGTACCAGGAAGGTTATTTAGGTGGTTTAACAAAAGAAAAGTTATCTGAAAATGAAATGGCATGTAGTATAGTTTACACTAACTTCATCTATATGTTGTAGTTGTTATGCGCCGTCAAGTCTCTTGCGACTCATAGCG